AACATCATCATTTACCAATTCAGCTTTTACAGGAAGCCCGTTAAAGACAATAAATAATTAATAAAACTTGAAAAGAGAGAGAGAGGGATAGAGATAGAGTTTAAATAATTGTCTTTCATTATCATCGTTGATTTTCTACTCGGTGTGTGTGTGAATCAATACGCACAAAATGATACTATATGTGTCATAAGACTTTCATTGCTCTCTCTTTTGTATTATGATGTCAGATATGTTATTCTGTATTCAAAAGAACGTTTCGCTTATAATTTTAGAAATAAAATAATAAAATCTTAATCAAAAATTTTACTTAAATTCATGATGTAAAAAGAATTATTATCAATCTCTCTCATATTTACATTTATCATAGTTTCATCAATAATAGATAAATGATTAATTTCATGTAATAATAAATATGATTTGTGACTGATTTTATGTATATTCAATTCAATATTCAAGACGATTAATCAGCTTAACTGTTCTATGGATTATTCCAAATATCACTAAATTGATGATAGAAAAGAAAGTTTTAATACAACATGTATGAAGTCAATGTTATGATTCATGTGTATGAGTGTCTTTTGTTTTTCTTTTTAAGAAAATGATTCATCAGATAACGATCAAATGAAATTTCCAACAAAATAAATTACTCAGATATCTGCATATAGTTGTTGATAAAATTATACAATAATAAATATTATCTTCGAAACCACCTTCTCACTGTCATATTGATAATTGATGACTAATAATCTGACAATTGTCAACTTGTGTCCTTTATTAAAAAAAAATCAGAAGAATAGTTAAATTTTGAGAAACAAAAAGACAAGTATCGAATTAATTTTGAATCAAAAAATGTCCTACTCGAAGATAGTGCAATCGTACGATTCAAATTTGCTCCAGGTTCAAAACGAGTAGAGTCGAAATCATGGCTTGTTCGATTTTTATTCACTACGACACATTTACCTGTTCTGTTTGTCGATGATGATGTCGTAATTCTGTCTCTTTTTCTTTTTTTATTTCTCTCATTTCAAAGCTAAATGAAACACCACTTTCACCATCCATGTTGCAATAGGAAAGGGAACTAACCAATGTGTCATTGACAAATTCCTACGTTTCTTTTGTTGCATAAAATATATGTAGTATATCTGAGTATATATAAACGGATCTCAAACATTGTAATAATTACACTTTTAAATTATATGATGTCTGCACAACCAAGAAATACACAACAGTCTATTCCATCCAATCGGCCAAGAATCGTCTGTTATCAATGTCAGAATGAAGGACATATAGCTGCTAAATGTCCTCAACAGGTTGTATCTGAAAACCATCTAGCAAAATTATTAGAAGAACAAAAGACGTTAGTATTATTATATGGATATCCATTTCATAATAAATCTTCGTTTTTTATTTTAGTAATTTCGAAACTTTGATCAATGAATTTCAAAATAAGTGGAATACACATTTATCAAAATTACAAACTGTTCAGAAAAAATCGAATGCTAAACAGTTATTACCTGTCATAAATGATCTCACTACTGTTTGTAATTACCTCAAAGAAAAAAATGTACAAATGCAAAATCAATTGAATACTATCACAAATCGCATACAAAAAAGTGCCAATGAATGTGTCTAATTAATAAGATGATGAATTCCATTCAAGAAATTGTATCATTTTTAAAAAAATCTTGTCGATATATAAATAGATTATAATACTTTTAATTCAGATAATACATATTGTTCATTACTGGATTGATTAGTCCACGAAAACAAATAACTAATGAAGATCTTTGATCAGAATGTTACTATTGTTTTTCTTAATTGTGCTATTTGACTTGATGAAATATTTTATAAATAAAGAATATTGATTTAATAGAATATAAACATCTACTTGTTTTCTATAAACAAGTCAAAATATAAGAACCTTGCTCAGATTTAAGATCATGTAGTATCTATTGACGTATGATGATAGTAATAATACATAATAATAATGAACATACTAGCAATCACATAGAGCCATATTGGACATAATATATTAATATATTTTTAGTTTTTATATTAACATGTGATTCAATGTACTAGATGTTTTATCTAAATATTTTATTAATGGGAGGATTTAGAAAATTTATAGTCAACTTCGATCGAATATATTTTTATAATGTTGATTAATTGAAGCTATAGATTGTGTTTGTTCTTTTTCAATGGCTCATTGGACAATTAAGCTGACATACACGAAAATTTTCTTTTCCTTTAATGAAATATTTAAATGAATAGACCTATGATCAATCTCTCTTTCGATAAAATACAATTGTCAGATATAATTTTTCTTGTTATGGAATCCCATAATAGCCATACTTATAAATATATGTTTGACATAGAAATCACTTCAATACTTAGCAGAACAAAATGATTTTAAAAGAAAAATTTCATAAAACAAACTATTTCTCTATAGGCTTCGTCATTTGAAAATGTACATTTCGATTGCATAAGAAATAAGAACGAAAGAAATTAACTACTAGATCTACAGTCACTATGGCGCAATGTGAATGAACAGAAGACCCACATTTATATTTTCAGTTATCTCTTCAGGTATGCGAAAACCTATGTTGTTCAAATCGCTCAAAAACCGACGGTTTTTCACATCTTTTTTGCTTATATGTTTTTTTGTAACTCATGAGAAAATATCCCCAACTGTCCAATTGTTTTTCGATCGAGTTTATGCTCAAACAATAGAACCCAGTGAGCTATTAAACTCTGTAAAAGATTTTGGTTTTTGACACCTGCTGAGCAAAGATATACGACTCTTACTCTTACTAGTTTTGTTGTACTGCAGTCTTAAAATATTCGATATCCTGACTTAACATGCTCTGATTCGTCTCAAATTTATATCAGCACTGATCAAGATTCTAAAATTTGACAATAAATCAATATTATTTTTATCAAACATATAAATTTGTTCGACATAATGATTGATCATTGAAAAACCAAGATATGCTCTTGCTCAAAGATGCCAGTGTTGATTAATTCAATACTTTTATCACACATTCATTTCATAGTTCACATGTATATGGAAATGTCAGCTCATTTTATCGGTACATTAGTTAATAAGAATAAGTAGAAAGAATTCAAGTACTTTTCTTTATATGATCTATTTTCCGAGAAATGTTTATAAATTTAACTAGCATCAGTAAAGATAAAAAACAGTGAAATGAATCCTTGAAATAATGGAAGTGATAGTTGTTGAAAAAATATTTAACACTTAATACATAACCACAATATTCGTAACGAATGAACGAACGTGAGGAACAATTACGTATATGACAACCTAAATCATCAAATCTAAACAAAACTTCCGTCACAATTTTGAATAAACCTTAGTGTATATAAACGCATGCAGCTCGAAACTACTTATATTGAATCCTAGCCATAAAGATTGGCGATAATGATTGATCAAGATTTAATGACTGTAGTTTAAGTATATTATTGCATTTCATGACATCTGTGTCGCTAATTCATGACGAACAGTTCGATTATTTAGGCAATGAACATAGATTTTCGATTATTAATGGAAGAACACGTCTAGTGATTGAATCTTTGATGTGATTTTGAGTCAAGCTTGAAAACACTTCCTCTAGATACTATTCCTTTCATCTTACATATCATCCACTTTTCATTACCATTATTACACAATTACCTTTGCCAATTTCGACTATCAACAATTCTATATGACTTATTCGAGCTACAAGGTTTTATTTCGATCAGTAAAATATGCATGTAAGAGAACGATATTTTTACGAAAATCATGTTAGAATATCAGTCCCATATGTTCCATAATGAAAAGCACTTGAATTCTTTCTTCTTATTCTTACTAACTAATGTACTGACAAATGAGCTGACATTGCCATACACATGCTAACTATGAAATGAATGTGTGATAAAAGTATTGAATTAATGAACACTGGCATCTTTGAGCAAGGGTATATGTTAGTTTTTCAGTGATCAATCATTATGTCGAACAAATTCATATCTTTGATAAAAAAAAAATATTGATTTATCGTCAAATTCTGATATCTTGATCGGTGCTGAGTCTCTCAGTACTGATACAAATTTGAGACGGATCGGAGCATGTTTAGTCAGGAGATCGAATATTTTAAGACTGGAGTACAACAAAACTAGTAATCTATGATAAAGCTTTCAACCCTATAACATGACACTTGAGGAAAATATACGCTGAACAAGGGTCAACTATTGGTTCATTTGGCAATCCAAAAATCTCTGTGAACCTCATTCTATACATTTAACTTTTTGTTTGTATGAAAGAGCCTGTCAGGATGCAGCGCATGAAGAAACCATTTTTTCAAATTTTCCTTTTTAAGTGAAGAAAACGGATAGCAAATTCAATAGCTAATAAACTCCAAAAAAAGATGAAAGTGTTGTGGATTATTGAACTAGTCATCCATTTTCTTTGCTCAAAAAAAGAAAATTTAGAAAAAAGGATTATGCCATGCTCTGCATCCTGACAGGCTCTTTCACACAAGCAAAAAGGTAAATTTATAAATTAGTATAGGTTTCCACTAACGTTTCTCAATCTTGGATGAACCATGTATTTTGTAAAAAAATCTACCATTGGAACTCTACCATACTTCAACAAAAAATAATGTATTGTATTTGATTGTTAAATTTTAACGAATTTTAGGCGAACTTCCAGTGCAATCACGAAGTGTGGCTAGACTTTGTTCTATTGAACACTTAACATGCATGCTGAAAGTCATATATTTATACTTTACCCTTAAAATTTTACTACCGGTAGTTAAAGACCAAGATCTGCTGTTCTCTGACAACTTATCATTAGCATTCTTCAATCGAACTTTTTAGTGAGCATGAACGCATTCAACATCTTCTAGATTGCAGGCAACAGATTAGAATTGTTGTTTCCTCCTTTATTCAATATTTGAAAGAAAGAAACACAAAAAAAAACAATTAGCAAGCTGCGAATGATTGCATTATGGTCGAGTTTGACCACAGTTTCCTGCTGAACAACAGCTGCTTTTACCCGGATTTCTGAAGGCAACACAACCCATGACATCTCTGTTGCATGCAGCACAATTACCCCCTAGAATTTAAAATTCATCTTTTTGAAAATGTTAATCAAATATTCGTCGGGAAGAAAAACGTTATGCTTGGATAAGACTATTACATAGTACAAAATTTCAAGAGATTGGCTCTGAAATGAAAACATCCGACAGACATTTAGGTTTGACTTACATAAAAGGAACCAGCTGGAAGCTGTACAACCGTGTCTTTTGTAGCAGGCGTCGTGAACATCGCAACATCCGCCCTTATTACCACAGCTCTGTATCACTGCATCACAACCATAATAATCCTTTATAAGCTGATCAAAGCTTTCAATATTCTGTATTGGATTTACATTATCCGTCGAAGGAAGCGTTGCACAATGAACGAAGCTAACCAAGATGGCGACAATCATGACTATTAACCGAAGCAGCGACATATTTGTAACCAGTTTCAAAAATAGGATAGACCTAAAATAAAACAATAAAATGCATGCTCTTTATTCTATCAGGCCATTTTTTCCTATGAGAGCTTTGTTGCTTTGTCCGATTTTTCAATAAGAAACTAGTATCCACTCAAAATTGATAAACTAAGGTCACTCAATGGAATAGACTTATTCGAAATAATCTTTTCTATTTCAGTCAATAGAATGAAATGTCCGATGTTTTGCAAGATGATAAGAAACACGATCAAAAGAGACACAATGAGTATTAATTTGGAACTGAGAACAAATGATAGGAACACCTGCTTCAATTTCTCAAGATAATATTTCTTCGCTTACACGTGGGCTCGAAAATCGACAACTAAAGCACGCGTCATATTTTTCGAAGTACGGGCTTGGAAACAATATTTTTTTCAAAGGAATACTGCTACAATCTCTAATAGGATAATTTAATAAATTTACATCAAATCAAAAATCGTCGAATATTGGATTTGTTTGCAGCAAAGAATAAAAACTATAAAGAATCATAGTTAAGTCTTTTTCGCACTAGTCGCATCAGCTTTTTCGATTTAAAAAAACTATATTCTCTCTTCAGATTCATCTATCTACTTTTAATACCTATTCAATAATGCTGAGGACTGACTGTTTGTCTGTCACATTTTTTTGGTTCCCTGTAAACTCCGCGAACACCTCGAAAGGAAAGATACCTTAGATCTATTTATATAGGTAGATAGAACTCAATGAGTTGTGTCCACGAACACCTACTTCGAATGAGTCCGAAAGAAGCTTCGAATAATGGAAGTCAAACTTTGTCTGCGAACACCACTTGTATACCTGCAAACACCTCTCATGCTTGAAAATCTGCGAACACGAACTCAATGAAAATAAACACTCATTCCAATCAATCTTGATGCAAAACTTGCACCATTTTATTGAAACTGTGTCTACAAATATCTAGTAACATTTTTTCAACCATACTTTGACATTCATAATCGTCTACGAACACCACGAAAGCGCTTATGACAACTTACGAAGACCAGTTATTTGAAAAGATCTCACTTGAAAACGCATTGTACAACTTCCTTAACACTGCTCTAATAAAAATAAAACAATAAACAAATGATTGAAATACAATAACTCAGTTTTGATTCAATTTAATGAGTTATTGAAATAAATCAAAACTGAGTTATTTCATTTCAATCAGTGTTTTAATAAATTTTATTTAGGAGGGACAGCATAAATAACTTGATACTATGTCTTCAAGTGAGATCTTTTCAAATAACTGGTGTTCGTAGACGATTATGTATGTCAAAGTATGATTGAAAAAATGTTACTAGATATTTGTAGACACAATTTCAATAAAATGGTACAAGTTTTGCATCAAGATTGATTGGAATGAGTGTTTATTTTCATTGAGCTGATGTTTATAGATTTTCAAGCATGATTGAGAGGTGTTCGCAAATAAATTTTGACTTCCATCATTCGAATCTTCTTTCGGTCCCGTTTGAAGTAGGTGTTCATGAACACAACTCATTGAGTTCTATCTACATATATAAATAGATCTAAGGTGTTCGCATAGTTTACAGGAAGCCCTTTTTTCTGGGCAACCTTTACTGTTGAAACATTATTAAAAGCGTACGTTACTACAAATTTTCCCTTACCTCCAGTAAAACTGTGACAACCCTTAAAGGTCTCTTTTATAACTCGTTTTCGAGATCTATTATTGTTTAATGAAGCGATTTTGGAACTCTTCATTAATAAAAAATGGTTTGTGTGTCAGTTTCTTCGTACTAGTCTTCGATTCTATGTAAAACATTGATCGACGTAAAGTTACATAACTGCAATCGTTTACACTTTAAATTATAAGTAAATCGTAACTTCTAGAAATTTGAAATATAAAATGTTTTAAAATTTTAAAATTTTATATATCGCTGAACATATTTCAAGTATTAAGAAAATCAACTTAATTTTCTAGAACAGTTCATTTTCAGAAATATGAAAAATCAACTGTGATTATGCATTAATTCTAAAATCAAAGTAAGTTTGATAGAAAATACGCAAGCACGGCATCTTTCTTCGTATAGGTATAGAGTAGTGTCTACACATTCCACTAGATATAGTTAATGAAGTTGTCATTGGTTTCGTCGAAATTCTACTTTTAATAAATAAAGTAGGTAAAAAAGAGCATTTTTATATGCGAAAATAGGTTCAATTTGCTGTTAGTCTTGATGAACGTTCGTTCGCTGCAATATCATCAGAGAATGCCTCTTTGAATAAAAAATGCTTGAAATCTCAAGTAGTGTCATAATGTTTTCGACTTACCAATACAAACTTGTGAGCTTTACTTCTTAGGCTGGTGTATTAGTCACGCTAGCTACTGCGTACTCAAAAAAAAAGCGGAATCAGAGATGATTAGCTATAAACGTGTGTTCGCTTTTCTCAAAATTCACACTGAAAAACTTGAACATTTAAAGGCTTGTGGCTTAGTTAAGTACTTGATGTTCATATAAAAATATGAACTTGAAGAATTCAACATTTTAAACTCTCAACAATCCTAATAGAAAACGTATTGCTCCATTGAACCAAATTTTCAAGTCCTATACTACCCTAGTGGAAAGCTCGAAAAGAGTTGCACATTTATAGGTATACATGACACGATCATCGATCTTTTTTCACTATGCAAAAGACCGGGGCGCATAAGAACGTGATTTGGCCGACTGAGGATTTTCGCATATTACTCAGTACAATCTTATCTAGAATGAAAGAGTTTTTATCGCCTAGTATATTAGGACCAGATCTGAAGTATATTTCGACTATATTCGAGAACTTCCTCAACCGTTAGTTGATACTAAAAATATACGAAATTAGTCCTTAGGACTGTTTCTATACATATGTGATATTTAGCTCTTTTGCAAATAAATATTGAGAGGATAGTGAACAGTTTGAAATGCATATGATAGTCCTGATATCAGGTACCATTTTTACCCGAAAGACAGTCTCTTAACATATCGTTTTGACGAGTTTCAAAATTTCGAATAATCATGTTAGCAGTACATAATGATGGTATGATTGTCTTTCACATCAATTTTCCATATGTAAGTCCGTGAGAGGCAGCTTCAATTATGGCTCATTCGATAGCGCTTTTCACGCGCTACAAAATCCTATGATTTTTAAATGTAAAAAAAGTGGGTAAAAAGAAAGTCGTGGAACATACAGTAAAAATTATAATAATCTCATGAGCACCTTGACATATTTCGCCTCATATGTCCCTAATAAATCTTGAGAGCCAACATCAATTATAGACTATTCGATAGCGCTTTTCATGGGCTACAAAACCATATACATGTTAATCGCAAGAAAGGTGGGCCAAAAAAAGTCTTGGAACATACCGTAAAAATAGTATGAATTTCATAGGTGACACGACAGTTTAGCCTTTGACAGTTGAGCCCCGACAGTTGAGCCTCGACAGTTGAGCTCCCGACAATAGAGCCCCCGATATTTGAGCCTCAATAGATCATCCATGCAAAAAAAACTAATGATATTTAAAAATTTCATAACAAAAAGCTAGAGACTAAATCACTAGTCGCCTCAAATCGTAGGAAAATCGCTGAGAGTGAGGATGAAGGCGAAGGATGAGGGTGAAGGCGAGGGTGAGGATGAGAGGGAAGAATGAGAGTGAGAGTGAGAGCAAGTGTAAGGGTGAGGACGTGTGATGGTGGGGGTGAGATTGAGGCTGTAAGTGAAGTGTTTGATTGATGATTAGAATGAGCATGGTGGTGTTACCAGTAACACAGTGGATTAGCGACTTTGCAGCCACTTCGTCAACGGAGATTGCGCTATGATTTGAGGCGATGAATGATTTAGTCTCTAGGTTTTTGTTATGAAATTTTTAAATATCATTGGTTTTTTTGCGTGGGTGATCTATTGAGGCTCAAATGTCGGGGCTCAACTGTCAAAGGCTCAACTGTCTATGTACAATAAAAATCTTCAGAATATGAAATTCATCATTTCCCCTTTGGAAATTTTCCTTCGTAGATCAAGAATCAAATGAATGATAGGATTAATATTTTCTTATTCTAATTATCCAATCAAATAAACAAGGACATTTTTTCATTAATATTTTTAAATCCATATAGATCTTTACAATGTTTTTATTGTATTGACTTTTGAAAAAAAGAAAACTTTAACAACATCACTATTTGATATTTGTCCATAAATCATGCATTTTATTGCTATTCTTCCTTCGGATGCTGCACATAGGAGTTTGATGGAAAATAGTTTCGAATAGCATTTAATGAGTCAGATAATGGTTTGGAAGTTCGTAATCTTTCTACTCTAGAACAATTATCTTTTGTTTGATGTTGATCTTGAGCGATTATTGCTAACAATATATCTTTATTAATGGCAAGTTCGTTTAAACAAGGTAGATAAATTCGAGAAAGTAATTGTTCAGCATAGTTTATATGAATATCAAATAAAATCAGTGTAGTTAAATGAGTAAACTTAAGATTGTTTGTCGATACTGTTATATTCTCTTGTTGTTCAAGTTCATTAATTACTTCAAGTGTTTTAAGATAAGGTAGAGCTTGAGCAAGACATTCAAAGAAAACACTTTCGAATGGTTTAATATCATCGAAAAGTAATAAGACAGTTACCATTGTGAATGTGTTATTGATATCAAAAAGTGGAAATCGATTGGAAATAAAGTCAAGACGAGTACCAATAAATGGAAGTGAATAGATTTGACATTGACCATAATTATTATTGAAATAATCGATTGTACAATCAATAAATTGATTATGTTGTTTCATAAAACTTTGACGAATTGTATCAATTTCAATATGTGGAGCATTTTCTAATACAGAACGAATGTGAAAATGAAACTGAGATAAATGAGGCATGTAAGAAATAATGTCATTGTGTAAATCATATCCATCAATAAAAGGATTGGGTATAGATTTTGTTTTATCAATAGCTAATAATAATGTTAAATATTCGACATTTGAGAAACGTTGTAAAAGAGGTACAAGGCATTCCTTATAGGGATCAAAATTACGATAGATTCTCATTGTCAAATGTTTTATATTTGGACACAAAATCTAAATAATTATATTGAATAAAATTTCAGATAAAGAAATATTACTTACCGATGGTATTTTATAAATAAGACATTTTCCGAAACTACTAAAATATATAATGCTGACACTGAATGAACAGAGTTGTGTACCCAATTGTGTAAGTAAACAAATACAATCGTTAAAATAACATAATGTTATTTGGATATGTGTTAATTGATTTGTTTGCGGAAAAAACAACTCGTGATCATAAAAAATATTGGATAACATACAGCCATCATCAACTTCAATTGATACAATAGAACCCATAAATGGTGAAGAATCGAAACTAGATAAGATTTGACTACTAATAGTTGGATTTAGTTGACAAAATTGAGGTACAATTGAATGGAGAGGACAATCGCGGTAAATACTGTAAATACCATTTCCTAAAATGTGTGTAAATGATATAATATAATATTTTTTTTTAATAGTTTTGTTGATTTTTTTTTCAGAATATTAACTGAAAAAACGATTTTCCTATATTTTCTAAATAATTCTTTTTGTAAGACAAGCATTTGTATCTCATAATAGAAGGCAAATAATGAGATAGGTTTTTCAGTTATTGCTTTAATTCGTTATGAATAATTCTTTATATAAATATAACACATTTTTTTGCACAAAATATCGACAAGACATTTTCAGATAAGTAAACCTTAAAAGTCGAATGTGCCTTTCAAAAGAGACATTGCGAAAAACGCTATAAAAAAAATATAATAAAGCCCTTTATTCAACAATCAATATTTGTCGGAATTTTGCAGATCTAATAGAGTATATAATAAAAAAAACTTCTTGAAACCTACTGTCAAAAGTTACTGCAGGTTTTGTAAAACTCAAGAATTTTTTTTAATGTTATTTTAGATTTTGAAAAATTTGTCTGCTCATGAATACCGCGTGAATTTATTGTTTTTTTGAGTGATATCGCTACGCGGAACGTAAAACAATCTAGTGAAACCATCGCATAAAGTTTTAACAGATAAGCAGGTGCATTATGATAGCGCAAAAAAAATGGCCCTTGAAAAGAACATTTGGTCTTAAGGAGCTAAAGAATGTTAACATCATCTGAATACCATTGGCAGGTCCTATATGAGAATAGAGAGCGCGTAAACTTTGAAAAAGTACAAAACATTGCTTCAATTTTTTTTAGTAATAACAAAAAAAGTAATTGTGAAAAAACTCTTTTTTTTACACGAATTGAGAGAAGTGAAAAATGCAGTCCTTTAAGACTCGATATTCCTTCGAAAGGACATTCTGTATTGATATAAGAAAGAAAAAATATTCCTTTTTTCTTACTATAATATAATCATAGTAACGACTCAGAAGCTGTTCCAATGCTTATAGCTCTTTTAAATCATCACAGGAATCCATTTCAGATTTTAAGAGGTAATTTATAAAATTTCACATGTTTTTTTTAAGCACAAAATCAACTTAGATGGTACTTAAGCAATAATAAAAAAATATACTTAATAATAAATACCTAGCGTAAAAGGTGTGCCTGTTTTAGGTTTTCGCATACACAGCATTATTCTTAAATGTGTCAAATTTGGAAGAATTCCACCACAATTTTTTTCAACAAAACTGATAATTTTGGGAACATGTTCAATGTAGAGTGTCAACGATTGAATTTTATCGATGATACGAGGCAGGACGTATAAATAAAATCGTTCAAAATGTGATTCATATGGTGATTGTATATAATCTAATGTTAAATCTATTGCTTGACATTTATCAAGTGCTAGTTGTTCGAAACGATTATTATCAATACCAATAAAAGAACAAAGTAATAACACATAAGGTTTAACTTTATTCATGATATTTAAAATCAATTCATCAGGTAGATCAACTAGTTGAACAATGTCTTCTGTAAAAAAAAAAAAAAGAAAAGTGAAGGAAATAAATGATTATGTGAAATAGAGATATAGTCATACTTGATGAATTTTGATGATGTCTTAAAAGTCTTTTGGGTATTAATTCTATATCCAACAAAGCATAATAAAAATAAATAAAAAAAAAACAAAAAAGTCATACTTGATGGACTATTCATTATTCATATAATGTGACCGTCTAAAAGTTGAAGATCGAAGCATATATATATATATATATATATGTCAGCGTCCAAACTGAGATTACGTCCAATCTCATATTGGTCTAGGCGAATGTCGGATCCGAGATTGGACGCGTCCAATCTCGAATTCACGCAATTCAGTTCATTAAAATATCAATTACTTTTTAGACAGACCTTGGATTCAAACTTTTTTTTCGAAATTATGTTCACACAATGCCGTTTTAAGTATTACAAGCATTTAGGAAGAAGCTAAATTTAGCCTCAAAAATGTAATAAAAGTTTTTCACAAAAGTTGTTGTTCTCTAGAAATTTATTCATAACTCCTAAAACTTTATTCAAATCTGCCAAATGACAATTGTGCTAAACAAACTGGCATTGTGTGAACATAATTTCAAAAAAAAAGTTCGAATCCAAGGTCTGTCTAAAGGGTAATTGATATTTTAATGAACTGAATTGCGTGAATAAATACGATGCTGCTCATTGTGTCTTTTCATCATTAACTGAAAATGATATCCGTAATTTGACGTTCAGTAAAGATCAACCACTACTTTTCTTCACATCTTCTTTTTTTTCAGGATCTTATCAAATAAGAATGGCCAAGTCATATATTCGTGAGCATCTGCGTCATTCAGATATCAATGAAGAACAAATGGAGTTCTTGGTAGAACTCTGCAAAGAACAAGATGATCTCATTCAAGCACGATTTCAATCACGTCACTCAAACCAAAAACGACACGTGGCTACTATACAGTTCGATGAGGAAAAGGAGCAGCCCATCCAGGGCTGGTATTGTACCTGTATTTCTGGTGCTCGTGAAGTGGGTATGTGTTCTCATGTAACAGCGTTATTATGGCATCTCGGTGTACAAAGAGCGCTCGTTCAAACAGCCGTTCATCCACTTGCTGCCGACAAATTATTGAAGGCTGTAGATGACAGCATGAAGTTTTCAGACGACGAAACAGACTCAGATGATGAAAATCAATCGATTCTCAATGCGGTTACGAAAACAAATTATGGATATAATGACGATGAAAACTCAGATTGGTGACTTTCTTTCATGGCTGATTTATTATTTACCCTAATACTTATATTTTGTTATCCTACTCAACATTAGTTTGCTAAGATGCATGATCAATTCGCACAAAATTCGATTTGATTAAGCAGTGTTTTTGTTATATTCATAACAGATTCGATCAACGAGCTTCTGTTTAACAATTTCCAATCGTTATCACATAAATGTGGAGTATTTTTACGAATATCTTTAGAAAAAGTATCTATACTTTCTTTGATAGAAGGATGTATCCTGAACGTACGCTCTATATCGAGTATTATGACTAGATGAGAACTATTCATGTCACTTTTCAACATGTTTGCAACAATCTAGACGATAATTGATGCTGGCTCTCAACATTTATTAGGGACACAAGATGTGAAATATGTCAAAGTACTCATGAAATTCATATAATTTTTACAGTATGCTCTAAGATTTTTTTCGGCCTACCTTATTTCCAGTTGATATCTATAGGGTTTTGTAGCCCATGAAAAGCGCTATCAAATGGTCTATAATTGATGTTGGTTCTCAACATTTATTCCAGAGATATGAGGTGAAATATGTCAAAGTACTTATGAAATTCATACTATTTTTACTGTATGTTCCACGACTTTTTTTTGGTCCACTTTTTTTTACATTTAAAAACCATAGGATTTTGTAGCGCGTGAAAAGCGCTATCGAATGAGCTATAATTGAAGCTGGCTCTCACGAACTTACATATGGAAAATTGATGTGAAAGACAATCATACCATCATTATGTACTGCTAGCATGATCATTCGAAATTTTGAAACTTGTCAAAACGATATGTTAAGAGACTGTCTTTCGGGTAAAAATGGTACCTGATATCAGGACTATCATATGCATTTCGAACTGTTCACTATCCTTTCAATATTTATTTGCAAAAGAGCTAAATATCACATATGTATACTTAGGGCGTACCAAAATTTCGTGTCCCGCTATTTAAAGGGCCTCATCGGATGGGTGAACCGATTCAGAAATAAGAAACAAATATATCATTTTGTAGAGCTTTTCGAGCCGCATCGAATGGTCTATAGTAAATTCTGTTTTCATAGAACTTTGAAGGGCCTAGAGACAATTTACTGATGGACGACTACACATTCACACCCATCCACACTCACGTCTAAATTCACAAGATGACCCGAGATGGTACGTATATGAGGTTGTAGCCCGTCAAAACCTCTACAAAGTCGCATGCGAGAAACAATATTTTACAAATGCTTTCAATTAATAACAAGAACCACAATAATCATTAACTTATGGTCCTCGGGTATGAATGCCGATATGGATGGATGTGAATGTGTAGCCATCTATCAGCAAATTGACTCTAGGTTCTTCAAAGTTCTATGAAAACACGATTTACTATATACCATTCTATCCGGCTCGAAAAGCTCTACAAGATGATATGTTTGTTTCTTATTTCTGAATCGGTTCATCCCATCCGACGAGGCCCTTTAAATAGCGGGACACGAACTTTTGGTACGCCCTAAGTAGTATCAGTCCTAAGGACTAATTTCGTATATTTTTAGTATCAACTAACGATTGAGGAAGTTCTCGAATATAGTCGAAATATACTTCAGATCTGGTCCTAATATACTAGGCGATAAAAACTCTTTCATTCTAGATAAGATTGTACTGACGAGGGAAGGTCCCCAAGTGTGAGTCTCAGTTTTGAATCGGATACATACCAGTTTGTAGAGCTTGATGAGACTATAAGAAGCCTATAAGGGTTCGTCCCCATGCGCTGTCCTTCTCAAGTTATGACCATTTTACCTGATTTTCGGCCGTTGGCAAGGTATATGTGAACAAGTCGAATCAAAGAATTTCGACCTGAAATTTTGCCTATAGATAGGTATTATGGCCATTAGAAAGCTCTAAAAATTTTAGCTCATAAGAATGTTTTCTTCTTGAGATATTGGATATCTAAAAAACGATCATATATCACAAAGAAAGAACAAAAAATCGACCGTCTTCAACATTCGATATCTCAAAAAGAAAACATTCTTATGAGCTAAAATTTTTAGAGCTTTCTAATGGCCATAATACCTATCTATAGGCAAAATTTCAGGTCGAAATTCTTTGATTCGACTTGTTCACATATACCTTGCCAACGGCCGAAAATCAGGTAAAATGGTCATAACTTGAGAAGGACAGCGCATGGGGACGAACCATTATAGGCTTCTTATAGTCTCATCAAGCTCTACAAACTGGTATGTATCCGATTCAAAACTGAGACTCACACTTGGGGACCTTCCCTCGTGAGTAATATGCGAAAATCCTCAGTGGGCTAAATCACGTTCTTATGCGCCCCCGTCCTTTGGCGTGTCATGAAGTCTGTTTTTTTTTCTACTATTTGCTTAGTAGTTACTACTTGTCGCATTTTTACAGTATGTGAAAGAATAGAAAGACAGAGTCATTTAAAAGCAAATACATAACATTTTATACTCTATTTTACTCATTGTCTGACTAAAACTTGTACCCCAGATTGGATCTTGTCCTGTTTGGTTGCTATTGATGATCGCTATCCCAATCTCTGTAAATATATATATATGAAAGATTGAATAATGGTCATATGACTACTATACTCTTCTAAATATTCATTATACATCGATACCTATCCTTCAAGAACATTGGTTAATAAATTATATAAAAATAAGTAATGAGATAAATTTACAAATAGATTAAGTTAGTAAATTCGATGCATTGTGTATTTGTTATCTCGAAAGAAAACATTTAGACAAAGCTCTGTTCCAAAAAAAAAACATATTTTATTGTATTTTCGTTAACTTGTAATGTTGTTGATTGACATATGAACAACGACGATGGGTAGAGATTGATATAATGACTTTAGATTAATTTAATGTTCAACTTAATATGAATAAAATAATTTTGTTCATCTTAGAAAACTTTTATACTGAATAGATGCAGTTACCTTCGTCTTATTCAAACAAATGGAAAAATCCATTTTCTTTTTTTCTTGATTCATTGCAGTGACCGTGATAACATTATAGACCATTCAAGTTTTTTGCAATTGACAATTACAATTGAATAGTTCATTTAATCAAGTGGAACAATCATCTCATCGTATTCAATTTTCTTAGTATTAGCTACAAAAACAATCCTTTTCTGAAGTTCTGTTGATTCTATTTGTACAAGGTTTGATTCAATATTATTCCAAGGAACATGGCTCCAAATACAAATTATATTAACATTGAATCTTATACCCAATGATAGGTCATCAAATAAGGGATCTAGGAGCATAACAAGGAACTCATAAGATGATCATGAGATGAAGAATTATAGAAATTTTCAAAACTTTAGGCACATACTGAAGGACTAGGGATTATCAAGCACGGAAAAGAATTGTGTTAGCCATGGTAAACTTCAATTAGTTGATCATTGTGATAGGAAGGTTTTATAAATTTGATAAGTAAACGATTATTTAAGATCTAACTACTGAAAAACTTGAGACATATCTGTCTGTTAGAGGTATAATATTTTTCAGTATTGCGATCCCAACATCATAATATATTTGTTGAATTAGAAAATATTTTTATCAAATTAATCAATAAAGACAACTCTACACCCATTGATAGATGAAACATTTTCTGGGACCTATTTCTTTGTCATGATTGACTACTCATAATCCTCCAATGTATGCCTCAAACTTGAGAAA